ATGTATCTTCATGTGTGTCAGTGTGTATATGTGCATACATCTCAGAATCTCACCAACACTACACACTAATACACCCCTGCATTTCAACGTTAACACTACATACAAACCCCACTGTGAAGAAATGCCCCTCTTTTGCTTTAAACTAACAATTTGTATTCCCTTCTTTTATGTTAGCTTTCCCTATGGCATTCGGTAGGTGAAACTACCGAATTGAGACCACCCTGTTGCCCATTATGAATACTTTACCTCCTTGCTTGCTGGGCATGTTCGACAAAAGTTCTGCACGAACGGTATGCACCGCTGCCATTTCAGGACTTCCACGTGTTTGCGGCCATTTTAGCTCCCGAACAGCGGTGTTTGCCGTCGAGTGTCCAGAACTGAAAACGGACACTCAAATAGGCGAACACCGCTGAATCCTCCATACCTTCGGTAAAACCCCATTAAAACTACCGAACGACCGGGCGTTCGGTAGAAAGACTCACTGACAGATGGGGAATCAAGCGAACCAAGGATGGTAGCTGGATGGCCGGCCGTTCGGGAGGTTTTTCATGCGACCTAAGACCGACTGCAGGGCCAGAATTCATGGAACTGTTTTCGGCTACTTTGCCCGTGCAGTCGGTCAAAACTTCTAAGTTCCATATCGCCCGAACGGCTGAACCGAATGGACTGATTTTTTCAAGTCCTTGGGGTACATCCAGATCAGTGGCGTACACAGGACCCATGGGGCCCCGGTGCGAAAATTGATCCGTGGGCCCCCCCCCCCTTCTTCCCCTCCCCCCCCGCGCGCGGGCCGGGCCGCAACACATGACGGTGGGCACCTGGTCACAGAGGTTACAGGGCTGCGACCCCTGCGATCGCGGTATGTACGCCAGTGCATGCAGATGCACACACACTTAAAGGACCACTCTAGGCACCCAGACCACTTCAGCTTAATGAAGTGGTCTGGGTGCCAGGTCCAGCTAGGGTTAACCCATTTTTTCATAAACATAGCAGTTTCAGAGAAACTGCTGTGTTTCTGAATGGGTTAAGCCTTCCCCTATTTCCACTAGAGGCTGTCTCATTGACAGCCGCTAGAGGCGCTTGCGTGCTTCTCACTGTGATTTTCACAGTGAGAGCACGCCAGCGTCCATAGGAAAACATTATGAATGCTTTCCTATGTGACCGGCTGAATGCGCGCACAGCTCTTGCCGCGCGTGCGCATACAGCCGACGGGGAGGAGAAGAGGAGGATCGGAGGAGGAGAGCTCTCCGCCCAGCGCTGGAAAAAGGTAAGTTTTAACCCCTTTTCCCCTTCCAGAGCCGGGCGGGAGGGGGTCCCTGAGGGTGGGGGCACCCTCAGGGCACTATAGTGCCAGGAAAACGAGTATGTTTTCCTGGCACTATAGTGGTCCTTTAAAGGACCACTACAGACACCCAGATCTCATCAGCTCAATGAAGTTGTCCCTCTAGTTTTAACCCTGCAGCTGAAAACATAGCAGTTTCAGAGAAACTGCTATGTTTCACTGAGGGTTAATCCAGCCTCTAGTGGCTGTCTCACTGACAGCCGCTAGAGGAGCACACTGAATGTCCATAGGAAAGCATTGAATGCTTTCCTATGGGCGGCTTTGAATGCGCGGTCGCATTCGGAGCTGAGAGGCTGAGGGATCCTCAGCGCCAAGGGAGTCCGGCGCTGGAGAAAGGTAAGTGCTGAAGACACACACACACTTACAGACGCATACACACTAGCTAACAGACACACACATTTCGGCATCAGTGCGGTGCGCGAGGGAGCTGAAGAGGAAGCACTGAGTGCTCCCTCGCGCGCCCGCCTTCCCGACCGGCCACCCGGTGACAGCAGGGCCAGCCTTGGGGGGCCCTGGGGTGGCCGGCTCCTGGGCCCCCCAGGGGAAGAGGCTGGCCCTGTGGCTACATACCGGGTCGCAGGGGCGGCCGGGCCCCCTGGTGGGCCGGGCCCGGTCGCAGCCGCGACCCCTGCGACCCTGGTATGTACGCCACTGATCCAGACTTTAGGGAAATTATGTTCCATTTTAATTATGCTAAATGGTTATCTGAGGGGAGGAGATGTACAGTATGTATATTGTTATGATTGGTTGTACAGTTAATTATATGGGAGGCTCCCTTGCATGGGCAGAATCCCATAAAAAGAGAATGCCTGTCAATAAATCTCTAGTTCATCTTCTTCTTCACCTCATTGAGCAGTTTGCGCTGTGCTCTTGCAGTCATCTTTACAGGACTAGGGAGAGTAGCAGCAGTGCTGAACTTTCTCCATTTATAGACAATTTGTCTTACCGTGGACTGATGAACAGCAAGGATTTTGGAGATACTTTTATAACCCTTTCCAGCTTTATGCAAGTCAACAATTCGTAATCGTAGGTCTCCTGAGAGCTCTTTTGTGCGAGGCATCATTCACATCAGGCAATGCTTCTGGTGAAAAGCAAACCCAGAACAGCTGTAATCAACACCTCCAATCTCATCTCATTGATTGGACTCCAGTTGGCTGACATCTCACTCCAATTAGCTCTTGGAGATGTCATTAGTCTAGGGGTTCACATACTTTTTCCACCTGCACTGTGAATGTTTACATGGTGTGTTCAATAAAAACATGGCAATATTTCATTCTTTGTGTGTTATTAGTTGAAGCAGACTGTGATTGTCTATTGTTGTGACTTAGATGATGATCAGATCACATTTTATGACCAATTTGTGCAGAAATCCATATCATTCCAAAGGGTTCACATACTTTTTCTTGCAACTTTATATATATATATATATATATATATATATATATATATATATATATATATATATATATATATATATATATATATATATATATTAATAACAAAATACAGTAAGAATGAAATTACATATGTATATATAATTTACTTAAATTAAAAAAAAAAATATTTATTTATTTTTATTATTTTATTTATTATTGTAATTATACGTGTAAATATAAATATAAAATATATATAGATGTATTATATAAATAATATATATATCATATATTTGTAACATCATTCTAAGTGTATTTTAATACTAATATGTACTTATATTAATATTAAAATACATTACGTATCACGTTACATATATTTATAAGATATGTATATTATATTTATAATATATATATATATATATATATATATATATATTTTATATTTATATATAAATACATTTATTTTATTTTAAAATATTTTTTTTTTACACTACCCACCAGCAGGGGGACTGTCTGACATTTTAGACAGTCCTCCTGCTGCCTGCTGGCAGATCCACAGCCAGCTATAGTGGGCCATGTTTATGCTCTTTGAGAGCGATCACATGGCCTCCGGGGGCCTCATTTGCCGTGGGAGGGCTGCCTGGGCTGCCAGGCAGCCCTCCAGAAGAGAATCGCGGCAGAGGTGAGTAAATCGGAGCTGCTGGGGGCTTAAGCCGTTACGGCGTTCTATGCCACCGCAACGGCTTTAAAGCCCATTTAATGCGGGACTGCATAGAACGCTGTAACGGCGTTAAGGGGTTAAATCATACAGCATCCTTTCATGTGCTTTTCAGATGTCATATTGTTAATTACCAATTTTTGTTTAACCTGATTTTCTTTTAAAAAAGTGAAAAATAAGTGTTATTGTGATCGCTTCATATACAGAAGCATTAATATATATTTTTATATTGTGTAAAGACATAACTACAAAGTTAAAAACCAAACACCAAAACAACGTGCCAGACAACCTACCTGTGCATGGCTAGTGTGATACAATAAGGCTACATCTTAAAAATGCAATAACCCACAGAAGATGGGCGAGAATTGTTTTTGCAAATGGAACTTTGATTCGAATTTACTACATCGGTCACTTGTAATATTGTTTCACACCTTCAACACTTGTTACACAGATCTAAGTGATAGAAAACAGATTGATATTTTCTACACTAGAAACTACCAGATAACAAGCTGCTATATTTAAACCAGTTATCAATAGCTAAGAGGTACTTAAACAATATTGTAATTCTGGGGCAATACCCTCACAAGTCATACTGAGAGGTCAGTTTTTAGGGAAAACTGTTGCCTGGATACAATTCTAAAACAATTTCCATATGTCCTTTGCAGACTTTAGATGCTGAAAAAACACATGTGCCAACTGCTGTGGCTTTCTGCAGTGTGCATACCGGCAAGGAGGGCAGGGTTGAGGAGTGGGTGAAAGATGATGTGGAGGATGATGAGGTCCTAGACCCCACATGGAATCAAGGTCATGCGAGGGACGTGTGCAGTTTGGAGGAAGAGGCACTGGTCGCACAGAAGCACCAGCACAGCATAAGAAGGCGCAGGGTGCAAAAGCGGAGCGGCCGTCCCCTAGTGCTCACCGGCATGTATTATCTTTAGAATTCCCACAGTTATCCAAGTAACAGTTGAAGCGATACAAAGAACCATAACAGATTTAATGAGCCATTTGCAGTTTCGCAGTCTGGTGAACGGGACCCAGACACTGTGCGGTCGGACGACCGGGACCCATTATGCCTGATGTAGAAGTTAGGAGTCACAGTGTGGAATGGATTAGCAGGATCTGGTGCAGGGTAACCACACGTCCCCTGGTGTTGAGCACCAGCATTTATGTGGCCACATAGCAGGACCCTGATGTAGCTTCAGTAAAAAGAGTACTGGATACCAGAAGCCATCACCAGACTGATCCGCAACTTGGAACAGGATGTGACATTCACTGTAGCGGCTGTGCACGCTTTTGGCTTCCTCACCCTGCTGCTGTTCGCCTGTCTGCGCTGCAGCATAACTTTGGCCTTCCCGCTCACTGCCTCATATGCGACGTGCCCACAAGGTGGAACTCCACCTTGCACATGTTAGAGAGACTGTTTGAGCAGCAGCAGGCGTTTCAGCTGCAGCACGCACGGGTCAGTGGCTCTGCACCAGACTTGCCCTCCAATTGTTCAGAGTTAAAGGATTTCAAGTGGACTCATTACAATTACAGGGCCTCTAAAGAGTTCTGTATTGCTATTTGTCGTCACTACCTTCCCGCGTCGGGAGTGGGTCATTTGCACGCCTGCTGCCTTCCTTACATGTGGTAGCCATTTGTCAGGGTCCCTGTATGGAATCGAACCCTGATTCCCCGTTACCCGTGGTCACCATGGTAGGCGCAGTCAATGGCATCGAAAGTTGATATGGATTCACATACAAATGCGTTGTCGCCTTCTCGTTTGGGAAGCACGTTGAAAAAGTGCTCTAGCATGACGAGCTGGGTGATCTCCTCCGGGAACTTGGCTTGATGGGAGTTGAGCTAGTTCAGTTCTTGTGATGCCACAGTGTATACTCAGATATATCAGAGCTGCTGCAGAAAGTGCGGGGCGTCTGTGCGTGCTTTTGGCGTTCTCATCCTGCTGCTGCTCGCCTGTCTGCGCTGCAGCGTAACTTCAGCCTTCCCGCTCACTGCCTAATGAGACTGTGCGAGCAGGCAATAGTGGAGTGCATCAAGACTGCAAGAAATGCACCACAGGCCGCAAATGTTTCTTTTTTTATATGTCCAAATATTTTGGAGGCTACCCCAATTAAAATTAAAAAAAAAAAATATATATATATATAAAAAACAGTGTTGGCTACCTCCTCCTCCTCCACCGCCGCTTCCACCTACACCGCCACGGTCACCGCCTCCTCACCCTATGGGTCACTTAGTATAAACTATATACACAATAGCAGAGGCTTGTTAAGGCCTTTTCTCCATGCATCAGGAGTTGAGCATTTCTCCATGCATCAGGACTGCAAGAAATGCACCGCAGCTGCAAATGTTTCCTCTTTTATATGTCCCAATATTTTGTGGGCTTCCACAATTAAAATAAAAAAATAAAAAATATATATATGTATATATATATATACATATATATATATATACATATATATAAAAAAACAGTGTTGGCTACCTCCTCCTCCGCCACGGTCACTGCCTCCTCAACCTACTGGGTCACTTAGTATAAACTATGTACACAATAGCAGAGGCTCGTGAAGGCCTTTTCTCCATGCATCAGGAGTTGAGCTCAGTTTGACCAATGAAAGAGAATGCCCTGCAGTCCAACCCTCTCTCAAATGGATAATTCTGGTGATCCTCCTGACAGCCATGCTTTAGATTTTGATTTATGTTCTTCCAAAGCTAAAATCAAAGATTCCATCTAGTGCTATTTTAAATGTATTTAGCTGTATTTTAAATTTTTATGTTATTTTAAGTAATTTCCCTATCCACATTTGTTTGCACGGCACTTGTCCTACTCTTACCACCCCCTCCCCCCCCATTTTACTTCCTTTTGCAGCCCTCTAGCCCTTTCCAGGACTTTTTTAGAGGCATTTTTGTGGCCAAAAGTTTACTTCAATGGGGCTGGGGTTCGGGGTCAAGTTCGGGGTCAAGTTCAATAATGAACCCAGACTTTTTTTTAAAGTTCAGCCGAACCCGACGGACCCGAACATCCAGGTGTCCGCTCAACTATAATGATAAGCTGATGTAAAATATTACAAATGTTTGGTGTTGATAATGAAAAATTAAAAATAACAGTAAAAAGAAAACATTGGCTACTACACTATTTGTTAACTTGGAATTTCTACATGGTTAAAGTTTTAAACTACAGTACAGATGAGGTTACCTAATATTTGCATAAGGAACAAAGCCTGGATTTATAATTTGAAAGAACTGTGTATCTACTGTGTGCTGTATTTACATGGATTTAGAATTGTTACGTTAATATTTGTATAGTAGAAACTTCTATGTTACACAAACATAACTTTAATATTCTGAGATTAGTGTGTAAAGTAGAAATCCTGTTTATATACCATAACTTTCTAAACGTAGTTCGTATTCTGACAATGATATTCTTATTTCTTTCTCAGTTACGGCATCTGGCCTTACCAGTTCTTCAAAAAATATGGGATTCTTGGTCCTAAACCTTTGCCTTTTATTGGGACATTCCTTGAAAACAAGGACGTAAGTTCATACTGCCTCACTGTTATTGATGAAGAAGTAGTTTTGTGGTCATTTCTAAGAAACCCTATAAACTGGATGTGTACTGTAGTAGAAACAAAAAAGAAGAGAAAAATACCAAGAAACCCAGAGGGTACAAAAGGTCTAAAAGGTACACCTATGGGTATCTAGTATTGTTATAAAGCAACCCTTATCCAGATAAAACGTAACTTTTAATAATATATTATAAAAGAAGGCACAATAGCCACAATATAGTGTATAAATAGTATCTAAAGTTAGTATAGACTAGGAGAGGGAGAAAGGAGGTTTAGTATAAATATACAATTAGATACAGAAGTGTCACAGTATCTCAGCGTAGCACAGATACATCAGGGAAGGAAGGGGTTAATTGGTGAACTGAACTTGATAGCTCACTTAACTAATCGCTATAGATCATCCAATCCCACTGTAATAGTTAAAATCTGCCCTGCCAACCTGTCTCAGAAGTATTATAAAAGGAGTGGAACCAACAAATGTTTTAATATTTTTGGATAACCTGTTAAAATTATTTATTTTATATATTAAAATACCAAAAAATAAAAAATAAATATATAATATACATTTTATGTTTAATTGTTTTATACGTTTTTTCAATTATTAAATCATTTAAAAAGTTTTTCCAAAAATATTAAATCAAGGCCTATATGAGTGGTTGGTATTTATATATCAGGATAGTCTAATACAACACACGGAACTTAAATAACCAAATAATAATAACCAAGTATCCTTAAACATATTACCAGACCTTAGAATGGCCAGATTTAATGTTAATAGTAGAAAATACAGGACAAGCTGAAGTAAAAAAAACAGAGTCAACTTAAACAATAAGACAGGCCAAAGGTCAATGAATATAGAAGTCAGAATAGCCAAGGTACAGGCCATTAATCAAAAACACAGTAGAATCAATAGAATAAATACACTCTCGGATTACCGGAATGAAAACCATGACAGGGAACAGTACAAAATGAGTTTAACCCCTTAAGGACCAAACTTCTGGAATAAAAGGGAATCATGACATGTTAAAGGAGAAACCAAGCATATGGTTTGTGGGTTTGAGGCGCTATTCGGTGAAATATTGCACACAGACCTGGGCTACAGAATGAATGGTAGAAGTCCCAAAGTATAGCTGAAAATGTTGAAGTTATATATTTTTAACCTGTTTTTGATGTGTAATAAAAACCTGGTATTTTGGGCGCTTGGAGATAATTGTATTGGCATAGCCGTTGGGTTCATTATCTCCAAGCTGGGCGGTAACAAATTCAAACGATGCATTTCATTCTGATTGGTTGATCCACTGTATTATGCCTGTATCCCATCAGGTCCAGAGGGGGCTGTCCCTGGACCTGAGATTTTGCATAAATACCGACTCCTGTGTGCCATTAAAGCCAGTTCTTGTTTAACCATCAAATCGCAGCCTCGACTCGTTTTGTGGGGAAAAGAGTATCCTGGCTGTACTATAGCTAGTGGGATTGTTCTACATTTACAGGATCCTTTTGGTCGACTAGTCGAAGCGGCTTCTCCCTCTCTCCACACCGGGATCCAGATCATCCAAGCGGTCTAGCGTCCAGCAAGCCTGGGGGTAACCGTAACATTTGGTGGCAGCAGTGGGATTGTCCTGGATTTCATAGGAGAGATACCGAACGGATGGAGAGCGCTTATGACAAATTGAAACGCACGACCCTACAGGACTTACTCGAAAGCCGAGGGGGGAACGCCAGCAACCGTCCAAGGAGGGAGCTGATCGCAGAATTAACCGAACTGGATCAGAGCTTCACAATGGCAGAAACCCCAACCACGAGTAGTGACGAAAAGACCAGGATTGTTCGGGAGAGGCTTTCACTATATGGGCCGAACCCTCTATGGAACTGGTGCAACAACTGATGGTGGAAGCAGACGAGGACATACGGAAAGCTAGAGCCCACGAGCTCAACCTAGTGACCGCACAACGACACACCGAAGCATTACCGATCGTAATTACTGCAGAGAACACCGGGAGGCCAAAAATACCCTATGCGGCTTTTAGACCCTTCCTGGAGAACGAGACAGGAATTGACGAATATTTGGCCGATTTTGAGCGGCAATGCGCACTGCACCAGATTCCCAACCAAGAGTGACCTACGATATTGTCTGGAAAGTTATCCGGGCGAGCACTGGAAGCGTTTCGGACTTTAAGTGCTGAGGAAGTGACCCAGTATACGCAGGTCAAGGACACACTCCTACGACGATACGCTGTGACTCCTGACACATATCGCCGACAATTTCGTAGCACGAAAAAGAAGCCCATTGATACACATATGGAATGGGCGCACTGAATGCGAAGGACAGCAAACCACTGGATGAGCGGGAGTAAAGCCGTGACCGCTGAGAAAATTTTGCAATTATTTCTGCTGGAGCACTTTTATAATGGCATGGAGCAACAGGGAAAGGAATGGCTGCGAGACAGACGACCTGCTACTTTGGAAGAAGCGGCCAAGTTGTCCGACGAGCATTATGAATCCCGTTTGCACGAACCGACAAACTACCAAACCGTGGCACGAGTCGAACACAGGGACAATTATCGTACATCTCCCCGCACTGATTTCCGAGCTCCGTTACCCGCTGGGCCCAGACGGTACTCAGGACCACCCACTAACAACCCCTCAGACCGTCCACGACCAACGTGTTTCAGATGCAAACAACCAGGGCATCTCATGGCAAGCTGCCCTCTCAACACACATCAGACCTCCCGTAATTATAACTACCCTCCCGGGTCATCTCGTCCTGCCAGGGCACTCTGTGTGAACCAAGAGGCCCCTATGGAGGAATATTTGGGACCACTCCATGAAGCTGATCCTGTATATGTCACTTCAGATAATCGCCAACACCACCGGCAGAAGGTATGGCTCGAGGGTCGGTCCACCGAGGGGCTACGGGACACTGGTGCTACCATTACACTGGTCCAGAGCCATTTGGTGCCGGAACATAAACGATCAGGACAGAATGTGGCTGTTAGAGTGGCGGGGGGAGATGTCTATAAGATTCCTACCGCTAAAGTACATCTTGATTGGGGAGCGGGGAAAGGGGCCGTGAACATGGGCATTATGGATAATTTGAAAAAATAATTCAACGAGATCCAACTAGAAAGTTTCAGGACGAACTAAAAGGAATCCTAGAAAAAGGACTTAATCACAAATTAATCTCTAAAAATGAATATGAGTTCATCCTAGGTGATAGCCCACGTATCTCCACTTTCTATAGCCTC